TTTTCTGATACATACATGTATTGCTGTGTAGAAATTTTGAGTTGATTCCGAGTTTCCGACTTCAATTTTTAAATTACAGCAATTTTTAAACTTGCTGTAACTTATTATGGTATTACAATGGTACGCTATACTATTGAAAGGATTACGTAAACCAAAAACAATCAATATTATCAGATCATCTGAAAGATATATTAGGTATAATAGTAATGTACATGTGTGCTATTCAATTGTACTATTCCACTCTATCAAATAGATCCAGTTGACGGATCACCACATCCTCCTCCTACTCAAAACAGTTAGTATAATAGTACAAACAACACTATCACTGAATTATCAATAGGTACATATAGAGGTGATATTGCTCACAAAGCAATGACTGAATGTACTGGAATGATAAAGGACTATGGAATTGATAACATTCACTTCTTAGTTGATAAGTTACTGGAGCATAAAATTATAAATGAAAGAAAGAAGAAAAAAATAACTGATGGATACACCAGACAAACTGCTGGTGAAAGAATGGATGAACTGCTACACATCATTTCAAGCTCCATTAAAATGGATGGAGAAGTATTTGGTATATTCATAGATATACTGAGAAAGGAAGGGACTAGAGTAGCTACTGCACTAGCTGGTAAACTAATGGATAAATACAAGGAATGAACAAGCCTTTTTATTATTACAAAATTATTGATTTTTATATTACCCTATTGTATTGCTGTCATTGATTTTATTATTGAAAGAGAATTTGGAGCTCTTTGACTCTCCAGCCTATAATATTTGAAGTATCGATCCTGACTTTAATGGAATCTTTTTATAATAAAATGAAGACAAAAAAGAAGACATAGCTTGAAAAGATGCCTACCTAGATTATGCTAACAATATAGCAAGCACTTCACCAATCACCATTGGATTCTGCAATGGATGGCATCGGAATTATTACTCATTTATAACCACGCCCATCAATTGCACTCCGTATATTTTCCGTATAATGACTGAATGATATTTTGTGCCACTCCCTACTAGCTCTGCAATATGGCTACCGAAAGCAGCTTTCCC